CTTTCAGCCACCTAAAAACTCACACCTAGGCTGTCTACTCTAGCTTCAGGATCCTCATAGTCTTGTTATGCCTTTATAGCTGAAGTTGGAAAAACTATTTCAACCACAGATTGTCCCTAAAAATACTTTCATAGAAGCTAAGTAAAGTATATTGAGCATATTCCATGTAGCCACTTCATGTACATTAACCTCTCAGGAGCATTTGTTTCAGGATACCAATAAAATTAAAGATGCCTTAAAGCAGAGATGGGCATTAATTTTTGATGGGGATGCCATTCCAAGTGGTCAAGGGCCACACTTCTCTATGGAGGGGATGTGGGGTTTGGGACAGAAATTGGATGCAAAGGGGAGCTCAGGGTAGGGTTCTGGTGTACAGGAGAGAGTATGGGGTGTGAGGGAAGAGGGTTGGGGTGCAGGAGAGGATTCTGGTCTGGAGGAGAGGTCTAGGAGGGGGTGCAGGGTTTGGGATGGAGCAGAAATTGTGACCTAAGGCAAAGAGTTGGATGCCAGAGTAGGCTCTGGCCAGAGGCACTTACCTAGGTGGTTCCAGGCTAGCGGGAGATTGTGACCTAAGGCAAGGAGTTGGGTGCCAGAGTAGGCTCTGACCAGGAGGCACTTCCCTAGGTGGTTCCAGGCTAGCTGCCTAATGGAACCCTGTGCCAAATTCCCTGCCCACCACAACCCCGGAGCTCAGAGTTGCTGCTCCACGTGCCTTTCTGTGGCGTACAGTGGGGGGAGGGGAAGGAGGATCTACATGCATTGCCCAGGCCCCCAGCACAATCTCTCAGCTCCCATTGGCTGGTTTCAGCAAATGTGAGCTGTGAGCTCATGCTTAGGACAAGGGCAGCCAATGGGAAGCAGCCAACAGGAGCTGAATGATTGTCCTGCGGGCAGAGTAGCAGGCAAAGATTCTCCCTCCCCTCTGCGCAGAGATGCAGATGGATCAGCTGCTCAGAGCCCTTGTGCTGCTCACTGCCTGAGAATCCCAGCAGATGGCCATGGGCCAGATTGAAAGGATTGCTGGGCCATACTTTGCCTGCCCCTGGGCTAAGGAATTGCTCCTCTTAATAGATTTAAACATAATAAAATACCAATAAAATTGCCTGCTCCAGCTATTAGTAGGCTTGCTAGGTGTGTGTTGGGAAACAAATTGAGAAGATGCAGATGAGAAAATATAAAATGTCTGGTATTTTCTAAATGGTTTGTGAAACAGATGAGAAAATATAAAATGTCTGGTAGTTTCTAAATGCCACACCCCTAGCTATTACACAGCAGAGCCCCACTTGTCACTGGGAGCAGGACCAAACCAGATGATCAAAATTTCAGATATTCAGGAAAGTAGGGTAGTGTGATGCCACAGCACCATCTAGTGGCCATGAGAGGATTGCCTGTTGCTGGTCCTGCATGTGCTGGTTATTAGGTCAACATGGAAAGCTGCACAATGGAAGGCTGGAAAAATGGGGCTCTACTGCACCTCATCATCTGTAAGGACTCCAGATAATAGGGCCCCTCATATGATACGCTCCTGGCAGTGACACACACACACACACACACACACACACACAGATCCTCAACCTCCTTAGCCATAGGGCAGATAGGTGGGTGTAACAATCCACTCCTGAGAGAATCAGGAACTGCTCAGACCCAACCAATGTAGAGAAGCAGAACAATTCCCAAGCAGATGATACATTCTGTCTCATTTGCTGGGTCTTAAAGAGAACAAAGTCCTGAGTCCTCTCCCTATCACTATCCCATCCACTCAACAGTGAGACTCTGGCAGGGCAGGAAGCTATTGGAAAAAGGAAACAAAAGACACAAATTCCACTGTCCCCAGTGGTAAGGAACAAAAAGCCTAGGTGGGAAAATAATAGTTCCAATTTTAGTGTTTCATTTGGCCAGCACCGGATAGGTCAGGCAGCTTCAGCACAAAATCTGTCAGAGGCTCTTACCTTCTCCGCGGAGATGTGTCTCTTTTTTCAGAATTGGATTTGTAGAAAACTCCAAGATTTCTCTTCATGTTCATGTTCAAGGCCTGAGAGCACTCTAGGTAAGCAGAGGAGGCCTGGAGATGACTCCCAGCTGCAAAGCTTCAGGAGTCTGAAATTGCCTCAGCCCCACATCCTGTCCTACCTGGCCGTTGTCATGGACTCTCTGTGAGTTCACCACCTGTCAACGTCCTTTAACCAATAAGCAGAGACACCAAAAAAGGCCTTATGATGTCACTGCCACACCCTGTCCTGCCCTTGGCCAGCCCCTGTTCATATTTGAGCCTCTCCCCCTGCATTACCCCTACTCACTCCATGGCTGTGTCTAGTTAGTTCTAGCAATCAAGCAGCTGCACATGGAATCGTCAGAGGCTGCTCAGTGCCACGTGTACTTTGCAGATTGTAAGGCCAGAAAAGACCAATCACCTAACCCAAGGGTGGACATTAATTTTCACCATGGTGGGGGGTCACTTCAGGAATTTTGATATGTGATCACAGGCCAGTTTTTGGCCTCCTGGAAGGTGCAGGGCCTCAGAACTACAGAGAGATAGAGAGTTTGGGATGTTAAATTTAGATTAACTATGGAATAGTCGATGGGATTTCTATTGATTATTCAGTTAGTTGATAAGGACTTCCATGTTCCGCCTTGGATATGTACAAATCATATCAAAGAGCCCCTGCTGGGGCTCTTGTACATGCTCATGCTGGGGCTCTTGTACATTTCAAAGGGAATTCCACAGGCCCCAGGCTTCCTGATGCACTTCCTCTTTGAAATGCACAAGAGAAGCATTTCTTAAAACTGTGTTCCACAGCACACTGGTGTGCCGCAAGGTAATTGAAGATGTGCTATGGAGAACAGAGTTCAAAATGGCCGCCCTTAAAAGGACAATGCCAGTTCTCCCAACAACCTGCTGTACTTACAACTGACTAGCCTGAATCCTGAGGACACTGCCCGCTATTACTGAGACATGTGGCTGTGTCTACATTGGCAAGATTTTATGCAAAAGCGCTGGCTGTCTACAGTGGCCGTGAGTTCTTGTGCAAGAACAGTGACATTCTAGTGTAAGAAATCAGTGCTTGTTGCACAAAAACTGTGATGCTCCTGCTCAGGAATAAGCCCTCTTGCACAAATGTTCTTGCACAAGAGTGATGCTCCTTGTGACGGTGCGTTGGGGTCCCCCTAGACAGACAATATTAATTTCTTGTGCAAGAAAGCCGAATGGCTAAAATGGCCATTGGAGCTTTCTTGCGCAATTGAGCATCTACACTGGCAGGGATGCTTTTGCGCAAAAACACATCTCTTACACAAAAGCACGTGGCCGTGTAGACCCTCTCTTGTGCAAATACTTCAATGCAAAAACTCTTGCCTTAAAAATATTTGCTCAAAATCTTGCCAATTGTCTTCAGTTCACAAGGGCTCAGATTCACCCCGATGCTCTGGGCAGGTCTAGGGCCACAGAATGCAGCACTGCATGGGCCCTCCCTGTGTCCCTGGGCCTGGGGGACAGACACTCGGCTCCCTCAACGAATGCACTGGGCTGGAGTCTTTGCTCTCACGCCCTGGACTCTCTGCTGGTCTCGCACTGAGCATCTCCCTCCGATGCTGCCCTGCGGCTCATTTGAGGGCCAATCGTTTCATCTCTCCCCGGTTCTGCTCCTTCTAATCGGGGCTGGCTGGTCCCAGCCCCTTCACTCCGCAGCTGCAGCCTGCCCTGCCCCGGGAGAGCCGCACAGTCCAGCTGCGCCGGCTCCGTGCGCTGAGATCGTTTCTTGTGCAGGCAGGGCCGTGGCCGGCTAATGGGCTGGACTGGGGATGCAGGGTCCCTGACCCCAGTTCTCCACCAACGTGACCGAGCAGCCGGACACCAGCGGGCCCCACCGGGTAATTCCTGTGCGGACCTCACAAGGGCTGGCAACCAGCCCCCGCCCCTCTCAAAACCTTCCCCTGCAATTGCGCAGAATGTCCCGCGGTGGCGCTCATGGTCCGCAAGCAACAGGAGAGATCTAGAGTCTTTACTCGCAGACATTAAGTCCTGCATAAAGATCCTGCCAGCTCCACTCCCAGACCCCGACCCAGAGCGCAGAGACAGGACACACGGACTCTCCCCATCCCGGTGAGGCTCCAGCCCAGATACCAATGGGAAGGGAAGTGGGAATGGGAATGTAACACCGGTATGAATCTAGATCATTAATAATCATGTGACTTCACAGCTGCCCGGCCCCTCACTAGAGAAAGGTTCCCGGACTCACCGGGGAATCCTCACCGCCCATGAGCGTCCTACCCGGGGTAACACTGTGACCAGGCCCAGCTGGGGGAGGGTCCGGGAGAGGCTACGCACAGAGGAAGTTGGCTACTGAACATTTCGCCCCAGTGTTTTCTTTGTATTTGACATCGAAGTAAATAAGCATTGAACGTCATGCCCCTTGATAATCATCCCCTGTCTTAGTGTTCTTTCTTCCCTAACATTGAGGTCTCACTGTCCTACCTTTCTAGGGTTCTCGGGATTTCTTGTGCATGGCAATGGGGTCAGAGCAGTTTTTGGGGTGGCGGTGCTGGGCTGAATCCCCCCTTACCTCTCTCCATGCTCCTCCCCACCTCTCAGGGCTTGGGTCCAGAGCAGGGTTGTGGCTGCAGGAGGGGGGATGTGGACGGGGTAAGGTGGAGGTGGTTGGGGGTCACAGCTAGGGCATGGTTGCAGGTGTGGGGGCAGTGGGTGCAGGTGTGGGGGCGGTCTGGGACACCGGGCACAGAGCCAGTGGCCACCAGTGGAAACCCCGAGGCTGCTGACTGGGGAGCTAGAAAGCTCCTCCCACTGTTCCCTCATCTCCCCTTTCTCGGAACGATTTATTTGCTACGTCGTGATAAAGGCTTTTGGAGCAGCCTTACGCAAATTCAGTGGGGACGCTTCTCTTTAAAGAGCCAGGCAATTCCTCCTTCTCTGACTCACTCCAAGTGCCCTGCTCCGAGTTGTGTCTCCTGAGCTCCATCGGAATCCTGAGTCAGACCCACATATGATGAGTTTCATTGCCCTGTCCCTGCTGGTGGGTCTCTCAGGTAGGAACCTTGGAGGCATCTGGGAGAAAAGCAGGAGGCAAACGCAGCCCAGAGGAACATCCCGTTCAGACCTTGGTACTCCAGAGCACAGTAGAACGTGCTAAGGGCTTCGCGGAATCCTGGCCTAGCGCTGTAACGTTTGTCTCTTTGCAGGTGTCTGGTCGCAGATCCAGTTGATCCAGTCCGGAGCGGAGGTTAAAAGAGCAGGAGACTCTGCAAAACTCTCCTGCAAAGTGTCCGGCTACACGTACACTGACCAGGGCATGCACTGGGCCCGGAGGGCTCCGGGGAAAGGCCTGGAATGGGTATCTTCAATTACACACGGGGCTGGGGACACCCAGTACTACGCAGACTCGGTCAAAGGGCGATTCACCATCTCCAGAGACAACTCTCAGAACCTGCTGTTCTTGCGCATGGCCGGGCTGAGGCCTGAGGACACCGCTGTGTATTACTGTGCGCGATGGGGCGAACACAGGGAGAGAAAACATCGCCCGGCTCATGCAAAAACTCCTTAGTGGGGAATTCCAGTTCGTCTCAGGGTCAGTGGGTGGCAGCAGGGGCCCACATCACTAAGGTGATGCAGGACGTGTGTGTGTGTGTGTGTGTGTGTGTGTGCGTGTGTGTGTGTGTGTGTGTTTAAAGTTTTCCCGGAGGGAGGGTTAAAGAGCTTGGGGTTATCCCACAGGAAGAAATTCCCCAAGTGCATCTTCCTGGGATCTCAAAGGGGGTTTTGAATGTGGATTGCAGCAGAACATCACCCAAGGTCTGGGATAGCAACCTTCAACTCCCTGAAGGGGGGTTCCAAAGGGGATGGAGAGACGCTGTTCTCAGTGGTGGCAGACGGCAGAATGAAGAGCCGTGGTCTCAGGTTGCAGTGAGAGAGGTCTACGTTGGATATTAGGAAAAACCTATTTCCCTAGGAAGGTGGGGAAGCACTGGGATGGGTTACCTAGGGAGAGGGTGGAATCTCCATCCCTAGAGGTTTTTAAGCAGCTTGAAAAAGCCCTGAGTGGGATGATTGAGTTGGGATTGGTCCTTTGGGCAGGGGGTTAGACTTCATGACTCCTTAGGTCTCTTCCAGCCCTAGGATCTTGTGATTCCATGAAGCTCGATATTGGGGAGTTTTAGAAGCCTTCAGTGACAGGGTATTTTAAAGTGTCTTGCAGCTTCCCCCCTCCCCCTGCCTTCTGCACTGGAAGTGCCAGAGCGGGAAACGACCTTGGCAGGGGAACAGTCAAAGCTCACAGCGCCCCAGTGTAGTGGCAAAGGGTGGCCCCCCCAACCCAGCTCACCAAGGGGAAGCTCTGGACCTATCCCAGTCCAGCCTTTGGCCACAAGTTTTTGTCCTGCCCTAATTCTGTGCCCTTTTGCGCCAGAAGGATCCTGCTTCAGTAAGACAGATGGACATTGTTCATATTACTCTTGCCTCTTCTTCCTCCCCAGATCTCCCTTCCTTACTGTATCGTCCTGGGCATCTTTCCTTTGCCCAAGTCCCTGATTGTGCAAATAGAAGTCAACAGAGCTCCAGAATTTGGAGCATCTGGAAGGATCGGGATAAAGGCCCTGATTCAGAAAGGCACTGAAGGGTCCTTGTCCACGAGGATAAAAGCCCTATGGTATGACTGTGGCTGGGTCTTTCCTAAGAATAGTTTTTCCTGATATCCAACCTAGACCTCCCCCATGGCATCTTGAGCCCATTGCTCCTTGTTCTGCCATCCGCCCCCACTGAGAACAGCCTCTCTCCATTCCTTTGCAACCCCCCTTCAGGGAGCTGAAGGCTGCTGTGGCATCAGCTGGCTGGGGCTAAAAGTTGCTGTGTAGACATTGAGTCTGGGGCCCAAGCTCTGGGTCCCTCCACCCCCTCAGGGTTCCAGAGCTCACCCCCCAACCCAGCTTCAATGTCTGCCCAGTAGTTTTGCAGCCCAAAGCCTGCGCTGGATGAGCCAGGCCAGCAGTGGGCGTATCCCTGTGTGGACCCGCCCCAAAAGTGTGAGACACCCAGCTCCTATTGGAGACATGAGCAGCCCTTCTGGTTCAGACAATGGTCCCCCTCGCCCAGTATCCTGTCTGGGACAGCGTCCTGCGCCAGAGATCCAAGGGGACAGAACGGAACGGGGCAATTCTGCAGCGCTCCAGCTCTGTCTTCTTTAAGGAAGTTCCAAGCATTGGATAAAAGACATTGAGAGACTTTTCCATTCATTTGTGATCCAGGGCCAATGGGAGCTGTGGTCCCCCATACCTGCGGAGGTGCAGGTAAATACGGCGGTGTGGGGAACCAGCAGGGGTGAACGCTGACAGACAAGATCTGGCTTGGGCCGGTATTTGCCTCCTTCCCCTGTTGCAGACCCTGCTGGTGCACACTCACTAAGGGCTCTGTGGTGCACTTTACCACACTGCAGGGCAGAGAGGAAGGATGGTGCAGGGGGTAGAACACACCTGGACTCCGGGTGTGACGGCGCGTTGGGGGTCCCCCGTCTCCTGCACCCCGAAATGGCACAAACAGACTGCACCAGCCAGTGGAATTGAGGGTGGTTTATTGCTCCTCCAGCACAGCGCAGCACAGATGTAATCTGGTTACAGGAACTGGGGCTAAGAGGCCTCAGTGCCCCCCTTGAGATAGGGGAGTCCCAGCCCCCTCCCCAGCTCCTTCTTCCCTGCCTTCCAGCCAGGAACTAACTAACCCTCTTCCAGCCCTGCCCACAGCCAGGGCAGCATTCCACCTTCCTTTGTTCCTCTCCATGGGGGGTGTCTGGCCACTGGTTCAACAAGTTTGGAATTACCCTTGCATAGTGAGGCTTTCCCTGCTGGGTCTTGCTCCAGACAGCAGGGGTCACCACAGCCCAGCAAGTACCCCCACTACGTCACACCGGGAGACTTTGCTCTGGTACCGCCTTCCTACAGCTACGGAATGTGCTGGGCAAAGAAGCTGAAAACCAGAATTTTGATCCAGGGTCGCTCCCACTGAGACTCTCCAGGAATCGTGGGGTGGGGAAGTAGCCCTGGCTGCAGAGGAGGAAAGGCTGGTGTTGGGCACCAGAGCCTGGCCCTGCCTTGGTCAAAGGGGAGGGGCTGGGCATGGGGAGAAGAGGCAACTTCTGGGAATTGTGTGAACCAGGCCAGTGTCATAGGTCCTGTTTGCTAGACTTTTCTTGCTCTTCTCTGGACTTTTTCCATTTTGTCCACAGCGTTCCTGAAATGCGGTACCCAGAACTGGACACAACACTCCAGGGGAGGCCTGATCAGCGCAGAGTAGAGCGAAATAATCACTGACTGCTCCTGTCTCGCTCACAACACTCCTGTCCATGCAGCCCAGAGACATGTTTGCTCTGTTGGTAACAGTGACTGGCTAGTGATCCATAATTGCTTTATGGGTCACTAGGAGCCATAGTGCTCCTGCTTTGGGGACATTTCCCCTTCTGTGTGCGCTGGATTGTTCCCTTCTAAGGGCCGCACTTTCCTTTGTCCTTTTTGATTTTCATCCTCTTTGCTTCTGACCATTGTTCACTCTGAAGCACAGTCCTGTCCTCCAAAGCACTCAGGACACCTCCCTGTCTGATCTCACCCACACACCTTATCAGCGCCCCCTCTCTGCCATTAATGAAGCAAATCACCCAATTCAGTCCGGCCCTGACATTCATGGCAAGGACACAGAACTCAGCTGGTGTCAACCGAGAGTCACGTCTGAGCCTGGCACCCAGCGCAATAGGTTCCAGCCCGGGGACTTGTTAGCAATGGCAACGTTTTAATTAACCCCAAGGTGCCTTCCACGCCATGGGGCGCTGTACCTGGGAATAGCACATCGACAGAGATTAATCACCACGTCTGCCCCGCATCCCGGCTCCCAGGCGAAGTGCCCACCAGGGAAGGGCGGGGAATTAGGCTGATTAGTGGAATCCCTGGGGGCCTTATTAGACCTGCAGAGCTGGGACACCAGCAAACGGCTGGATGAGCTCACTGCTGGAACCCCGAATGTAGGGGCCTGTCCCGCTCCCCTCCCTCTGTGCGGTGTCTGTGGCTTTGTGTCCATTACAGGGCATCACACCATTGAGCCAACCCCAGCGGGCAGGTGCGCAGCCCAGGTGTCTGGCGAGGCCTGTGCCCACCCCACTTTCCTGGCTCGGGAGGGAGCAGCTTTGGTTGAGTCCAATCAGCCATAACGCGCTAAGGGCCCTTGCTCCTGGATCCTGGCAGTGCAAAGGGGAGGGGAACAGAACCCGCCCATGGCCCGGGAGATGCATCCCAGTGAAGGGGGGAGGGGTGGAGAACCCTTCCCCCGACGGGTCACTCAGACACAAGCTCTGCAAGGCGGGTCTGGCTCGCTCTGTGTCGGCTCAGAACAAGCGTGTCAGGGTCTGGTGGGAGGTTGGGGGAGGGGCGGCTGTCCTGCCCAAAGTGGCTCAACTCTCTACTCAGCGTCTCTGCTGTCCTGGCACAAGGGCTGCGCCGTGGCGCACGGGACGGATGGTGCCTCTGTCTGCAGAGCGGGGAGCGTCCCCCTCACCCGTCCCCACCCCGCTGCACGAACACTTCCCTGTGCGCTCAGAGAGGGGGGCCGGGGAACAGCGGGACACAGACTCAGGAGAAAGCTCGGCTGGACTCAGAGGCCTCCAGCCCCACCTCCGGCCCAGCCTCTGCTATTTCACCCCGCGGGGGGATTCTCTGGCTTGTGTCACAGGGCAGCAGAGCCCAGACGAGCATCAACCTCTCTCCATTAATTGGCGTCTTAGCCAAGGGCTCCGCCGGGAGCCTGGTGGGGATTCAGGGCTGGTCCCCAGGGGCCCAGAGGGGATTTAAGGCCCAGGCGAGCCGGGAGGCTGAGGGAAGCGGTGGGAAGCTGCGGGCTCGGCAGCAGCGCGGGCTGCTCTAGTCACGTTGGCAGCGGATCACGACTCTCGGGTGGGTGTCAGGGCCCTGGCTGAGCCGCTGGGCCGGGCCGGGGAGGACGCTGGATGGGGCCACGGGAGTCCCGGCCGGGGCAGAAGGGC